AATAGAGGGTTGGAGCCAGCTCGGGGGGCGCTGTGGCAAGTAGTACTCTGTGTTTGCTGTGTTGATAGGTGGGCGAGCGCGAGGATTGGCCATGAAGTCAGGTACAAGAATGTAGGACAAAGTGGCGCGCAAACAGCTGCGGAGCTAGAGTGAGCCTGGGAAACATGAAAGACTGAAGGTTCCAAGCAGCAAAAATATCACGAATGCAGAAGGAAAGTGAAAACGACTTGTCGCTGCGCGTCAAAGGATTTATCCTGTGGCACGCCGGAGAGAAAGCGGGGGTGAAACAAATCACATGAAATAACTGCCAACAGGCGTGCTTGGAGATTTCTCGGGATGACTGTTCTCACTAGGCGCTCGCTCAGCAGCCGGCAGCGGCAGCACATCAGCTGGAGGTGATCGACGTGGTGAAGTCGGTGGTGTTGTCTTGGGAGAAGGGGAGAAATCCGGTTGTGAGGGTGGTGGTGGTGAAGCTGCTGGTGAGGTGGGTGTTGGGGAGGGGGAAGGTGCTTGTCGTGATGGATCTGCTTGTGGTGGTTTGGAGGAAAGTTGTTGGTCCTGTAGATGCTGCATGTCTTTGAGTTCTTGCCATCGGGCTTGGCACTGCTCGACGGAGAAGCCAACCCGGCGAGCAACAAAAACCCAATTGGGACGGAGTCGAGAGTTGCCTTTGAGTTCCACCAGGCGACAATCAGCGTCGCCATCCCATGCGTCCCAGTCTGCCTGCTGGTTCGGTGGTGGTGGTGGTGGCTGCTTTCGCTTGCGAGTTGTAGCAGGTTGTGGGGTTGGGGCAGTTGACGGTGTGTCGTCGGAGTCTTTTGAGGGTGGCGCTGGCAAGCGAATGGGTGGTCGAGAGGGTGCTGAGTCACAGGAGGAGGTAGTGGACGGTAGCCGTATAGGGTGAGTTGGTGGAGTTGGTAGTGGCTGAAAATGTTGGCGGAAATTGGGATCCGCTTGGTGGATGTGGTGGAGGAAGTGGGTGTGGAGGTGTGCTACGATATCCGTTGCTTGTCTGAGCAGGTTTTGGACCTGCGAAAGTGCCACAGTGGTCTGATGTAAAAGAGTTTGTGCGTCATTGTGTTGTGCTGCTCATGTCGTGGGGGGAGAGAGGGATGTACAGTCACACCGGGTCGTCACAGGTTGCTGCGGCAGCGCGGCAAAGCAGCTGGGCGGCAGCTGGTCAGCGTGAGCACGTCATCACGGGGCCATGCATATGAATTAAACGAGCATCAAATTCCCGCGGTCATGGTTCGAAAAAGTGCAAGTCCGATTGAAAGATCAAAAGCAAAAAACTCCAACATATGAATAAGACATCATCTGAGAAGCAAGTAAAAAGTTCGGAAAGATATTCTGCAGAATGAAACCGTCAAAGCTTGAAAAGTTGAAGGCGCAAGAGGGTCGCGTGACCGCTGTAAAAGTCTTTTTGCTGCTATAGGCGAAGGTTTGTGTGGTGGAGTGAGACAAAAGGTGGAGGTGGAGGTGGTAGTGGTGGAGGTGATGGAATGTGGTGTTACATGTCGGGTGGAGTGGAGTTGGTGGACCAGGCCAGTCCTTTGACTATGGCGTGGTCCGGGTGAATCACCCAGCAGCGGCCCTTCTGGTGGAAAACGGCGCCGTGGTGCTCGTTGAGGAGGGTCATGGCTTGTTCCTCGCCACCAGAGGTGTATTTAGTGGCTGCACCCCAGGCGAGTAGTGTGATGATGATGGAGCGGGAGTTCTTGTGGAGTTGCCAGGTGTTGTGGATGATGCGAGCAAACTCGCTTTGGTCGTGGGGTTGATTGTGGGTGATGCGGACGCCCTGGGCAAAAAAGCCAGGGTAATTGGCAAAGTGGAGTGCGCTGGGTAGGAACCGACCCTGGCGTAAAATGTTGGCAATGTTGCCGACTGGGCCTGTATGGCCGGCATTGATGTGGGCGACTTCCCGGTGGGTTGAGGTGGCTCGGGAAACCGCGGGTGGTTCGGGTGTGGTGGCTTTGTTGTTGAGGAAGGGTAGTGAGATGGCGTTGTATTGGAATTGGTCGTATTGGCGAGTGGTGTCGTTCCACTTGACGTGGGTATATTGTCGGAAATCGGTGATATCTTTGTAGGTGATGTTGCAGTCTGTGAGGAGATTGGCGATGTACTGGTGCTGTGGTCGGTTGGGGATGTCGAGTTGGTTGGCGTGAAACTCGAACCATTCGAGAAGTTGGTCTGTAGGTGAAAGAGCTTGAAAGTTGGGTGGAGGTCGCCAGCGGTTGATTGGGCGACGAAGGATTGCTGTGGTGGGGTATTGAGAGGGGTCCGTGTTTGTGTTGTCGGTGTTGGGGCGCAAATCGATGGGTTGTGGGGAGCGGCTGCGGGAGGGTGTGGGGCTGTAAGAGTAAGTGGAAGTTGAGGGCGAACGGCGTCGCCGGGTGGTGCTGTGGTGCTTTGAGTGGCGGTGATGTCGATGCCTGCGGCGGTGGTGGTGGCGCCCACGGTGGTGGTGGTCGGACTTGCGTCGGCTCTTGTGGTGGTGGCGGCGACTGCTGTGGTGTGGATGTGGGGAAGGTGGTGGCGGCGCTGGTGAAGCGGCGCTATCGGGCTTGTCTGTTGCGGGTATTGAAGGTGCAGAGGCTGGTGGGGCTGATGCAATGGATGGTGATTTGGATGGTTGGGAGCCAGTGGCCGAAGTGGTGACGTTTTGGACCGGTGGTGTGGGGTCCTTGGCTGATGTGGTGACGTTTTGGACCGGTGCTGTGGGGTCCGATGGTGTCGGTTGTGGGTGGGTGGTGGATCGCCAATGGCTAGTGGAGGCGGTGGCGGAGGCAAAGGTTGTGGTGGAGGTTGTTGTGGAGGTTGTGTGACTGGGGGAAATGCTGAGTAGGGTCGCCAAACCCCCTGGGGCATAGTGCACTCTGGGTCTGCGGATGGATGATGGGCAACTGTTGCTTGTGGTGGTGCTGGAAGTGAGTGGATCTGCGTGGTGGGGGTAGGTTCTGCAGGTGGTGTGGGATGTAGTTGGGGCAACATGTAAGAAGGGGAAGGTGCTGCGGATGGAAACACTGGGGTTGGGTGTGTGGGTTGCGGTGGCGGCTGGGATGGTTGCACAATCGTCCAAGGTGAGGGAGTGCCGTAGGACAGTGCAGTAGGAGCTGGAATGGGCATAGTAGGTGGAGCTTGATATGGTTGCGGTTGTGGATGAGGAAATGCCGATGGCTGTGGTGATGGAAAGGTGGGTGCGGTTGGCGGCTGTGGCAGCGGCCATGTAGGCTGAGGTTGTGTAGTAGGTAATGGTGGTGGTGTAACATGAGCATATGGCCAGGGAAAATGCATGACGTAGTCGGACTTGTCGATGGTGAAAAACTGCGCTGTGTGGTAAAGGCTTCGCTATGGCACGGCGCGGCGCAGCGGCAGTGGGGCTGCTGTAAATTGCAAAGTTGTATTGTCATAGTGATGTTGAAAATCTCAGTGGTCGTGTTGACGGGGAGTGTGTTGTGAGGCTGAGCTGAGTGTAAGCTTGTTGTCAAGTGTGGTCATGCATCTCGAATTAGAGTGGAGAACTCCAGTGTACACGCTTCAGTCCTGCTGATGAAAAGGTCACGGCATCGATCTAAAAATGCAACATGTGGAAAACAACATGCACGAGTGATCCGAAAGCTGGTGGGAGAGAAAGCTGCCTTGTTTAGGCCCGGCGGCCAATGCAGCAGTTGATTCAAAGGGTGTGTCAATGACTTCCAGTGGAAAACAGGTGAAAGGTGGCAAGTTGGGGTGGATGCTTTCCCATGCAAAAACGGCGCCCCTGTGACGGGGATCACACTCAGCACCCGAGTGGGACGGCTGAGCGAAACACACTCTGACACTTGTATTCAGTGAACTCAATTCCCAGGTCGAAAATGGTGAGGGAACGGCATGGCGAGAAAGTCAGTTCACTTGAAGGTTGAACAACTGTTTGTGCGTGACTGCAGTGGTAAAACTCTCGCGCGGTCGGCTGCAACTCATGGTCGGCTGTGGTGGAAAAACCTGTTTATGGGAAGGTATCGTGAAGAAGAACCATGAAACCAACGAAGCAGCGGCAGGGTGAACCAGTGGAGTCAGTGTGTTCAGCGCAGGTACGTCGGCAAGCGTCCTTGCCGATATCCTAGGATCATGTGAGGAGCTTCGTTGGATGGAGCCTCACATGTCCTCTCCATCCCCCTGCGTGTGGAAAGTGGTGGAAAAACGGTGGAAAGAGTGGCGGTGGAAGACCCTTTGTCCAGGGTTGGACACACACACACACACACATCTGATTGCCTTTCAAAGCACTCTTCTGCCATGCAAACTCATCTGCACACGCAAACTAATGAGCGGGTTGGGTGGGGGGGTGGGGGGTGGCATGGGGTGGGTTGCAGTTGCCAACCATACAGTGTGACTCTGAAGTGCTGAAAGGGTTGCCAGATTGGACAAGGTCAAAATCTTTACATACACACACACACACCCTGTTCGAAGCTGAAATCACTGTCTGCTGAACTTTTTGCTACTCTCACGAGTTTTGGTGACTTGTGTCTGTGGATCGGCTCAGGTGTCCATCGATCAGAGGTCAAAATCAGTCTTAACATGTCCAAGACGCGCGCGAAAAAACAAACGTTGAGTGTGTTCTAAACAAAGGTTGCAACAAACAGTCTGCTATAGCAGTTAAAAAACATACACACACATGACAAAATACTAAGATAGATAGATAATTAGATAGATAGATAGATAGATAGATAGACAGACAGACAGATAGATAGATTATGTTCATAAGATACTCCCGCGTGCAAAAATAACGAGTAGATCGATCCGCCTGCAAAGACGAGTGTTCGAACGCGTGCAAAAACGAGCAACCGCTCTTCTAGGAGCCGACAACGAGTGCACTATTCTCTTTCCTTTGTCACCAACAAAGAATTTGAATCAAGGTGTCGTGACTGTTGCACGTTGCAAAGCCATGTGAAACCTCTCAGTTGCATCATGCAGTATGCTGTGTGGCATCACTCCAACTTTTATCCCATCTTTGCTGTTAGATCCTCGCCACGCCGATGAGATCGCGCCCATGACAAAGAATGGGCCACCCTTGCGCCTTCGTGCTAAATGCGCCAAATTGGCATAAAGGAGCCAGTCTCTCGAAAGAAAGATAGCAAAGAAACGGAAAGAAACAACACAAAGATGGACATTTTGCACCTCAAAAACATGGAAAAGAGAGGAGACCTAAAGATGTCATAACAAATAAATACATCTCTCTGACAGGAGTTCAATAACATGTTGGAACAAAAAGACATGTCTGCTAGATGTTGTAACATAGGGCACTTCGAGCACAAAGTGAAGTGCACAACAAAGAGCCTGGATTGGAGTGGGCTCGGTAAAACCTGCAGTTCGCATGGCATCCACCAGCGTCTTTGTGAGCCCTTCCTCCGCTGCCTGAACGTTTGTGAGCTTGAACATAAAAACACAGAGCGAAGCATCCACTCCTCAAGCGTTGACCATGGAGGCCACTGATTTTCAGCGTCGTCGCCTGCTGCGAGATTTTTGCAAAAGTATTCCGGCTCTTTGAAGGCTACCAGGCTGTAAGGGCTTCAAGCAACTCTGCAAGCCGCTAGCCTCTTTGGGCGGCTTGTTCATCGTACACCTGCCAAGATCTGGAACAATTTCTGGATTGCAGCTGCATGCCAGCGCTGGGCGACGGACGACTTAGCTCCAGCTGATGTGGTTCTCATTGACTCTGGGTTTTCGTAAAATTGACATGGCGTGCCCAGTGCACACAAAGGTGCACACTGTGGCTTAAATGTATCTTCAAGTATAAAATATAAGTATATAATATATAGATGGTGGTCCTTTTCTCAATGTCTAGCGTCCCAGATCATGTAAACAACCCAACACACATGTGGAAACCGTTGGAAGCGAAGAAACCGCCAGAACGTGGGAAGACAGCCAGCTCAGACTGCCACAAATGCATTGCAGGGGGAGAGTAGGAGAAAACCATTGGCAACACAGTCTGCACACCAACTTCAGCAGGATATGACGTGGCACCACCCGAGGAGAAAACGTGGAATCCCCTTCTTGAACTTGCTCTCTCTGCTCTCTACAAAGATACTTGCAGTGCCACTGTGTGTTCTATGTCTCTTTGCTTTGCATACTTCCTCCAGGTTCATTGTTGCGGTCCACATTGGAATAGTGAGACTGGCGGTGAGTTGCTCGACTTCACAGTGTGCAACATACAAGTTCCCACTGTAGCAGCTGAGTGAAGCCAAGAGAAGTAGAGAAGCACGCAGCCTATTTAGCCTATTGAGAAGAGAAAGCACACTACAAAAAACATTAATCTATTTTTCATGCAACCACGCAAGTAAGGAAAGGTGGGAAGAAGTAAAGCCGAACGGATAATTTAGGCTGGAGAAAAAATATCAAAGCTGGAAAACCAATTGAGACGTCAAAAAAGTCAGCTCTGGGCCAATTGACATGTTTGCAGTTTTTCCTTACTTTTCTTGACTTTCTGAAAGTTTCTGATTTCATTTTTTTGTTTAGACTTTTGGCACTGACTACTATGTTGACTTTTCTGACTTTTTCTAAATCTTGAAGCAATGCTCTTTCCAATGGAATGTTTTTACAATGCTAGAGTTCAACCGTTGGGTATTGTGATATAGAGATCACTTAACTTTGTCACCATTTTTCACTCTTTGACTTGCTTTTGACATTTCCAATTGACATTTCTTTACTTTGACTCTTTTGACTTTTAGTAATCAGGCTGTCCTGGCCTTACCACATGAAAGTTTTAAATAACTCTAGCAAGACACACTGTTCACCTGTTCATTGAGCTTGACAAACTGGCTTGAAACGGCTGGAGTGAAACACATAAACACAAGTTCTCTACATGGTCTTGAAACTGTACATGTAACTCGTCCAACATCTGATCAAACCACAAGTAGAGTAAAACAACACAAATAAAGGTAGTGGGAAAAGCGGTGAATAGTCGAGAGAAGCTGCTTAAAACTCGCGGGCCAGTCAACCTAAGTAGAGAGAACAAAAGAAAAGAACAACAGGCAAACAGTTGCAAAAACGGAACAACGTGTAGCCATGAACACCTGGAGCTACGCTGGCAACCCCGCTGCACAAGGCTGTGCCCCACCTGGGGCCCTTGGCCATCACTGTCATCCAACCAAAAAAGTGAAAGCAATGCATGTTTGCTACATTGTCTTTAATTTTGGTCCGCGATCATATGTGATGTTCTGTGCAACTGGGCCGTATCAGGTTTTGTGAACCAGGAATTGAAGGGCAGGCTAGGCAGCTTTTTGGCGACTGGCTGCAAAGAGACAGGCACAACTGGCCTGGCACCAAGTGTCACTGAAAACAATCCTGTGAGTTCCATCGCGGGGATCCCAGAACCAAACGTAAAGCAACTCTCATACACCCCTTTCAGAACAAACCATGAGCAGCACGCACCCTCCCGCTTTCGATGGTGGTCTAAACACCTAAAGATCTAAAAGTACCTAGGCCTGCCAACCATTAGCTGGCTGCCTGGCTGCTGACAAACGCTCTCCAAACTTTGTTCGAACTACTGCTGGCGAGGGTGGAACGCAAGTTCGTGTTCAACTGGCCACCTCAGTCAATTGCACTGCGGTCTAGAACTCTGAGCATACGAGGCACAACCACTCAAATCCTCCCGGTCAACTCATCCAAAGAGCAATTGTTTGGGACTGGAGACCACCAATGTAACGCAGAGGTACCAAGCTTACTGCGCAAAAACCAGACGATTTGTTCATCCGAACGAGGCTCACGAAGCCCCGAACCCTACGGAGCGCTAGGAAGCATCGGATCCCTGGCGCTTCTTGTCCGTTTGGGATTGCTTGCGCGATCAAGCGTGAACAAGTTCGTTGTACCTTTCTGCCACTCCACAAAGGGCTGTCTGAGCATTTCGAGCTCCACGAAGAAGTGTTGACAAGCCTGAGCCTTGACAAAACTATTTGCTTAAACACATTTGAAATTGAAAGTGGCCTGGAACTAACCAAGGCTTCATTGAATACTAGGGCAATCACTTGATTGGGTCATGATATCCTTTCTGGGATCCCACATGTGGCAGGACAACTCAGCCTTCCTTATTACTATGCATGACGGTGTGGTCGACCTGAGGAGCAGGAGGAGAGGGCATTCAGGCATTGTGTCAGCACCCACTTCTCAACCTTCTCGAAAGGGCGCATGAGTTGCACCCCATACGCCAAACATGGATCATTGCACATCTGTTCTCATGTTATATATATGTCGTTGTATGTCTATTCTATTCCTCCTTTATCAAAAAAGGAACAGGTCAGGAGCAAGTTGAATCCGGCGACATCCACTTGGCCATTGAATTGTGCCCGACTTATATAACCTCAAATCAAAAAGGCATTCGCCGCGTGCCTCGATACTCTCAGGTGGCTCCTCGCAACCCAAGCGGCTCGGATCCTGCACTTCGCAAGGAAAGTGCAGAGTCCAGAGTCAACGTTTCATGAGCTGGACAAACCAATTTATGTACACCATTGGGCAAATAGATCAGTAGATGACACCGTAGCGGCCTATATTGAGCTTAAGCCTCCCCCAATGAGGAATGAACGTCCCCTTGTTTGGGTCACAGAAATCAGCAAAACCAACCACTCCCTCCTCTCCTCTCCTTTCTTTTCCTTTCCCTCTCTTGTCCATGTCCTTTCCCTCTCCTTTCCTTTCCCTTTCCCTTCCCTTTCCTTCCACATCATTGATTGGACATAGAAAAATTGGGCGACAAAATCGAACATAGCGACGGACTGAGACTTAGAATGACGTTGGTTCGCCATCAGAGTTTACCTACGCACTTAGAATGACGGCCAAAAACGCTGTTTTTGAGGCCCACTTAGAATGTCGGACGGACAAAGCTCGTTCGGGATTCTAAGTGCGATCATCGAAAAGGTGACTTTTCTCAGAACGTGTTGCAAAATTTATACCAACATGTTAAGGTCTAGTCCGTCGCTAATTTATGAATGATACCGCTTAAACCATTGCTTTTTGAACCACTGCTTATTGTGCATGGATGGGCAAGGTGTTGTCCTGTCAACATGTCATATATATATAGTTCCGGACCGGAAGTTTAGAATGTCACTTTGGAATTTTCGGGATGGACAAAAAGAAAAATCATAGGGGATTCCACTTTGGGAGCATTCTCGCTGAAACCTGCATTTCTACAGGGTTTTTGAACTTGGGTATTTTATATGTTCCAAAGCAGATAAAAGAGTGTTTAGCACAGTTTGTTGAACCCTGGTGTTTGTCAGAGTGCGCTGTTTTATGATTTTAAGTAGTGTTATAACATAATATTTTTTTAAATAGATTTCCGTTAAAAAGTATTTGTATTGAAGAAGTTATATTTTTAACAATTCATGCCTTAATAATGGACGGTTAAATCCTTCTAATGTATGTATAATAATTGTGTCCTAATTTTGTTGCAATGTTTTCTACTGTATATTCACCTTGTAAAAAATGACTTGTTCTCTCTTTCTCTGTAATTGCTTTCTTCCTTGGATACATCTTTTCTTTCCTTGCTTTCACTGATACATTCAATGTTGCTTTAAACTCATTCTTCTCTTTCCTTGCTTCATTTGGTGTTAGTCCTGTTGCACTATGCACATCTTTATCATTATAAGTCAGCATTATTTCTAATATGTAGTCAGTTCATTGTATATTCTGCTTTCCCTTCTTCTCATCATTTTCAAATGTTTTAAATAGTCTATCTTTAAATGTCCTAATAAATCTTTCAGCGAAGGCAGGATGTCCTCTTGCCCTGTATAAGTCAATGTCTTCACCATCCACATATTTTTTAAAGCACTTGCTATACCTCTTTCATCATCAGTATACAACATGTTGCACTTCTTTCCCATTTTTTTTGTAAGCCTTCCATAGTTCCAGCAATTATGTCAGGTGGGGTTTTACTCTTTATTGGCACTACCACAGCATATTTACTCAGAACATCTATCATGACTAAACCCGCTCTGAATTTTTGTGTTGCTTCAATGTCATCAGGTGATATTTAAAAGAACATATATGTCAAGTTGGTAGGTATGATTATTATGAGGTGCTACAAAATTGTTCTGACCTCTTTGTTTTTTTCGTTATCTCAACATTTTTCTAAAACAAAATCTTCAACATCAAACATTGTTGTTTCAGAATCGTTTTTTTTGGCATCTCTTAAAGTTGTTGCTTTGCTTCCATAACCCGCTCTATCAAAATATACACTATTCAATATTTCTTGCTTTGAACGCATTATATAAAATAAAATACTGTAACTATGTTTGAAAAAGTTTTTTTTTGTTTTTTTAAACATGATCAGTGAGCACCACAATTACAATACTTACAGTATGGAGTGCAATTATCCACAGAATGGCACAGTGTATTGTCTAGTCTTTGTGCTGTGAAGTTTGTTGATAATTGGCCTTGCTTCATTTCAATATAGAACTTTATTCCACAATGGGCACAACAACCATGGAAATGATTCAAACACCAATGTTCATTAATATAGGTTTCTTCATCTATTTCTCTATCAGCCACTTTATCCTGTTTTTTGTATCCTTCAATCTTGTTGTTAAAATATCCTATATACTACTAAATTCTTTTGCATCTCTTCATTTGCCTTTTTCATTCTTGAAAACTATACATTGTTAAAATCCCTTGCTCTTGTGATACTGCACCACAACCATTCTCCGCTTACTAGATATGATTTTTGCCATTCATGTATTGTAATGTTTCCTCCTATTGATGTCCCCTGTCTGCTTGGGCCGCCAGATAGAGGAACCAAAAAAAAATGAAAAAAAACAAAACACAAAAACAACAAAGAACCCCCCCCCAAAAAACAATATTTCAGAACTCTTTCTGCAGAAACCCCAAGTTCAAATACCTCTGGAAATTTGTTTTGTTGTTTTTTTTTGTTTTTTTTGGAGACCCCAGATTCCCAAACCTCTGGAAAATTGTATTCTTTTGTATTTATGAATACTCAAAGCATCTGGTCATATCTGAAACGTCTCTATCTGTGGCAAAATTTGCAGAAAAACAGCTGCAAATCAATGGAAAACCCCACTCTCAGGGACACCCGTTCTGTTTTTTTTACTGGATATATATATATATACATCCGTGTAAATGTCATTTCCTGCCCTGATCCAGCTGCATTCAGTGGCTTGAACTGACGCTTTGCTAAAAATCACAAAAAGGAACAACAGGATGCGAATCAATGACAGGAAAATGCAACATTTTACTTTTTCATTGTTCCGTTTGCCTTTCCTCTTCTTCTTCCTTTTCGTTTCCTCTTCCTTTTCCGTTCCCTTTTCTTTTCCTTCCCCTTTTCTTCTATTACCTTTCCGTTTGTCCTTTTCTGTTTCCTTTCCCCTTCCTTCTCCTTTCTGCTGCCATGTCCCATTCTTAGCCATTTTGTCTCCGTTTCCTTTCCTCTTCCTTCTCCTTTCTGCTGCTATCCCATTGTTAGCCAGGGATAGCCAGGGCCATTGTTTTCTTTTCTTTGTTCTTCGTCCTTGTCCTTTTTTGCATTTTTCCTTCCCCTGTCTCATGTTCTTTTCCTTTCCTATTCCTTGTGCCTTTGTCCTTTTCCTTTCCTCTTCTGTTTCCTCTTCTGTTCCTTTTCCTTTCTGCTTCCATATCTTGTTCTTCGCTATTTGTTTCTTTACATTACGACAAACTGGTTGTTTGACTGTCAAGTGCGACAAGCCCGGAACTTGCACTTAGAATGTCGAGTTTCCCCCCTGACGCACATCCAAAATGCAAGAGAATAGACAAGGAACCCTCACAAGTCAATTGTGATGTAGGAGGGCCCTGGCTTTGGGCGCGCTTAGCCGACCTTTCAAAACTGATGGCACTCTTGGCCAACAGCCCGGGCAAGTTTCAACTTGATCTAGGGCCCTGAAATCACACTGGCTGAGGAAATATGCTGCTTCAAGCATAATCAATTGATATTACGATTCAAACATGACCTTTGGGCCCCGACATTCTATGTGATGCCTCAAAAAAACCTTTCTGCAGCTGATCTACCCCTACAAATTGACATTTCCAAAAGAGATAACAAAATCAGTGCGTCGATGACTTTGGTCCACGACATTCTATGTGATGCGCCGAAAAGATCCTTGCTGCAGCTAATCTTAACTACAATAGGGGTCCTCCCCTGCTTCAGCTTTCGCCTGAGTTTTGGATTTGCGTCGATGAGTGCCCGTCATTCTAAGTCTCAGTTCGTCGCTATAGATGGGTAAAACTTAAGCCAATGAAACCTCCTTTGTGTTGCGCCATCCTCTGGCCCAAGGTGATTGAAGCTCCATTGGCCTATGCTCAGAACGGGGCATGATTACAGCCAAGAAATTAGATTTATTTTTTTGCAGTTTTTGCGAACGCCAATCTTTTTCGCGTGCTGGAAAGGCAGCATATACAACCCCGCCCCCAGTTGGGTCATCTACACATATGTTAAAAAGGCCGATTCTACATAGGGGTAGATGGCGCAAGGGTCTTTTTGACCATCATCTATTTTGCTTACCGGCAGAGTATTTCTGCGCTCCTTCAAGAGCAAAACATCAATTCTGTGGAAATGAATCCAACGCTGGCAGCAAACATCGTGCGCTCTTTCTTGCGCCAAAGCGAGGTCAAAAGCTTCAGTCTCGTGAGCTGTGGGATACCGGTGCAATCCATGGTGGCTCATGGGATGTCCCTGCTAGGTCCATCATTTTCACATTCCTTCTTCTTCTCACCGTGATCGCACCGGAGTCCCTGCAGCTCAACCTTCAAAGGGTAGCCAACCATGGCTGAGCGGACGTCGGTTGCGTCCATGTGCTTCGTGAGAGCGTCGGACAGCATCGTTTTGGCGCTGATCCAAAGCACCTTGGTGCTGCCATCCTTTGGTGGCTGGTCGCTGAAAAGCGGGTCGCCGACTTCCTCGTGGCGTCGACGCCAGATCATCTGGCGCACCCCGCAAAGATCTATTGCGAGCCTCTTGTCGTTCACCTCTCCGAGCCCTTGTTGTGTCAGGTGGTCTGACAAGCTGCGACAGTCTGTCAGCTTGATCAGATCTGTGCTGTCCTGGGCTCTCATCCTTGATCGTGGCAGTGATGTAGCCCATCCAGGATCATCCTCAACTGCTCCCCGTCCTCATAGTCAGCCAGCATGCTCAGGCTCTCAGCCTGAAGTGTGCTCTGACACGCCCGTCGAATCACGGAGCTCTTCCATTCCAAGATGTGGATGGGTCCTCCACTCTTGTCGATGAAGTCTGGCCCACAGAAGGCCAGGGTCCTCCCAGACTGGGATCGAAAGCCAAGGCGTTGTCCGGTCGACGAGAGGTCATAGTCGTTGGCGTGGCTTGCGTCGGTGATGGAGAGGATCTTGAGCTCTTCAAACTTGAAGGGGCGCCACACATAGGTCAGCTGCTGGTCCTTGCTGAGTCTTGCCCTCCGGAGCAGTGAGTTGCAGTCCACCAAGTCTTGGACACAGGGCTTTTGGACACAGCTTTGAAGTCGGCTGGTGTCGTAGGCCAAGTCGGGCCGGTTGACACGAACGATCCGAATCCAGTTCAAGAGCCAAGAACACTCCTCATCTGAGATTGCTCCTTGTGAGTGGCTTCTCCTCCTCGGTTTGCCTTCCTTTCCTGGCTGTTGACAGGGCAATGGGCGTGGTCCGCTCAAAGGCCATGTGGGCAGGTGACATGAATGCCCTCATCGCCCTGCGAAATCATCCGGCCACAGAACTTGAAGGTGGTGTCGGCGGTCCTGCCAAACTTCAGCTTCTTCTGGACGTTGTCCATGGCCTGCTGGGTGAGATCTCCTCCACACCAAAGTAGATCATCCACATGACTGATCACCAGTCCATCCACAGCGCCGTCGGGCTTGTTCATCACAGGCGGCGTTCTCGTGTGGAATGGGGCGTAGTCCAAACTCCTTCACGGTGTTGTGGAGGCTCTTCCAGAATCCACGTGGTGCATCCTTGGCGCCGTACACGGGGCAATGATCCAGGCGCAACTCCTGGTACACTGGAAATGCCACCTTGGTGATTGTACCTTCAAGATCACAGAGAATCCCTTGCAGGATCACAAAAGGAACGTGGCCATTCTTGGGCTCGTTTTGTGCGGTTTGATCCCTCGAGGACTTGGTGTTGATGTTGGGACATGTTCTGCTTGATGTGGACCAGGCGTGAAAGGAATTGGCGGCCAGATGAAGCTGGTAGGAAAACGAGAATTTGAGGTGAGCTAGATGAAGAACGGAGATTTTGCCCGAGGAACTCTGGTGTCCTTGGAGATTGCCTCCTCCGACGCACCGCTCTTGCTCAGCGTTGAAAGCCAGAAGCAACTTGGCTTTAAACTTTGTGATCGACCTCAACAACCAGAACGCGCACTCCACCGTGCTGAACAATGATCTTTGCCTGGTGGCCCGCAATGGACTTCTGGCAATCCGGCTTATCCCCGGATACCTTGGCTTGGTGGCTGAGCACTACGTGGACACCGAGAACTTTGAGGACGAGCAGCACCTGATCTATGAGCAAGAGGAACCGCCAGAAGAAGACATTAAGCTGGTCAATGAGACGCACATGGCCGTGGATGAGATGCATCAGCGCAAACGTGTCTTCACCAAAGGCCAAAAGAAACAGTTCAAGAAGGACGCGCAGGACGTGAAGGAAAGAGACCAGCACATGTGGGGACTTCTTCGATCCTCATACAAGAGCGTAAGACCTCGCTTGATGCCTCGAGGCTGCCGTACGCTGCTCTTGGAGATGTTTGCCGGAGCAGCCATCCTGTCTCACATGGCTTCCGAGATGGGATACCCTGTTTCACAGCCCGTCGACATTTTGTATGACGGCGCCGACCTTCGGAAGAAGGAGCACCGGGACATGATCGACCAGCAGATCGAGAAGGACGACCCGTACCTCATCTCCATGTCACCGCTCTGTGGCCCCTGGTGTCAGTGGCAAGAGCTCAATATGAGCAAGTCAGATGAGACTGCGCAGAAGATCATGGAGCAGAGAAAGGAATGGCACCCGGTGGTGAAATGGATTTCATAGGTGATCCGAAATAGAGTGGCAAAAGGTCGACAAGTGTTGCTGGGGCAACCATGGTTGTCAAAGATGTGGGACTCTCTCGCTCTTCTACGAGTTCTTGGTCATTCCATGCTTGGTATTGGGTCAGTCCCTTGTAGAGGCCAAAGCTGATGCTGCGACGGCCTTCTTGTTCCAGAGAGTGTGCGCGCGCTGGCGGAGTAGAAGGATCCGGTGATGGCGGGTTGGTCCAGATGGCCTGTGAGGTCGGTGTCCTGGTAGGCAATGACGGAGTCGGTGTTCCCGAGCCTCCTGTTTCCGTGGGTGTGTAGTCCTGACCTTCATGCGCTGGTCGGCCAAGGACGATGTTCTCACACATCCTGAGAAGGTCAGCTAGCTCGTGGTCGGTAAGAGTGAAGCCTTCTCCTTGTCCCTGTGACTTGAGATCCAGGGAGTGGTTGAAGAGTCCACAAACACGAAGGATCTCCTCGTCCTCGGAGGTCATCTTCCTGCCAGGCGTTGTTGAGGGGGTCGTTGATGAAGTCTCATTCGAGGCAGCTGACAGGGAAGATCCCTTGCTGGAACTCTTTCCTCCGTTCACAGGTCCAGTGCGCACTTCACCGCGCAGGAGACAAGTGCGCTTCCAGCGGAAACCATTTGTGCCATGCCAACTCACCCGGTGATGTGAGCATCCGGGTGTAGAGAATGCCTCAGAGGTCGTAGACCGGGAATCAGTGGCACCCACAGGCGTGCGCTCCAAGATCGCGCCACAGTCCTTGCACTTCTTGATCTTGTAGAAGGCGTTTGATCCCTGACCGGTCACATTGTAGTGGAGGCAAGCGGGCTTCTGGTTCTGCGGCTTAGTAGGCACCTGAGCTGGAGAGACCTGTGAAGGTGATGTCTCATGGCTGGTCCACTGAACAGGTTCTCGATGTGGTCGAGGATCTGGCTCTTGTGGTCGAGGTGCATGTGCTCGTACATCAGCAGGTTGTTCCGACGGGGTAGTCGAGGAAGTTGGACCCTCGATGGACAGAACTTCTCCGCGATCTTCACGATATTCAGATACTCCCAAAGCGGAGACCAGCATCATCATGTCGAGGTCCTCCTGTGACACCTCTTGTCCTTCCAGCACGTTGGATGATGCCACCAGGGACCATTTCTCCTCTTCTTCCGGCGAACTCACAATCTCGCCCTGCTGCAACTGTGTGGGAGGCGGTACCGCTCCAAAGATGTTGAAGGGTCGACGGTAGGCCATGAAGGCGGTCTGCTCATCGGCGGTCTCATTCTCCCGAACGGCAAAGTACACAGTGCGGGGCTTTGCATCTCCAGATCCTTTTCCTTTTCCAGAACCTTTTGGCGATTTGCCTTTTCCTTTGCTCTTCGGACAGCTGGCATCTCCACTCCAATGGCCAACTTAACTTGTCCGCACCGTCGGCAGGTGGTGCGAGACTTCAGGTTCTGAATCTTCTGCTGTCGTTCCTGGAGTGTCAACTGACCAGAGACATCGAATGCACGGCCGCTGGAACCAGAAGACTTTCCTTTTCCTTTGTTCTGGAAGCCCTTGATGCCCTTCTCCTTGGCACGTTCACGTGCGAAGTAGGCTTCCTGCTCTGCCTGGATGACGTCGGCCGAGTACTCCATGGCTTCCTCATCGTTCAGGTCGAGACCCTGATCGGCCGACATGGACAGAAGTGTCCCTTCATCCATCTCCTCGCCGAGGTCGTTGTCCTGCCAGTCGTGGTAGTTCTCCGAATTGGTGTAGGTGCTCGGACTGATAGGCGTTGAAGTTGTCGTACGGGTCGTGCTCATACTCCTCGGCTGGGTACTCCTCACAAAAAGTAGCCCATTCCATGTCCACCTCCTTTTCCACGATGACGCCACCCAGAGCCTTTTGGCCGCTCAAGGCCAATGCCGCGTCCTCGATGCTCTCGTTCGTGTAGTCGAGAGTGCTGGGCGATGAGCTCGGACTGGATGCTGGCCATGGTGATCTTTCCACCCAAAGCTGATCTGATCAGCAAGACCTGTTGGTCGGTCAGGCCTGCATTGACCAGAACTTGTTCAGCGAGGATCACCTCCGGCAACTTCGGACCAAGTAGGTCGACATTGGCTCCGTGGCCTGGCGGCTGAGGACGCCGCCTTCTCGGGCGCCCGCCGCGTAGAGCTCGCAAGCCTCCTGAGCTCGTCGCGGCTTCAGCGAGGAAGCCAAGGCCTCCAACAGCTTCTCCGCGCCCTCCTTGCTGGCGAGAACCGTGTGGGACATCTGCTGGGCGACACGGAGTGCGGGGCCAGAAAGTTGCTCCACTATAGGCGGAGACCTAGTGGTCCTTGTTTCCTCACCTCGCTGGGGTCCATCTCGGCTTCTCGTGCCATGCGGGCACGAACCCTCCAGGTGTATTCACCTAACCTGGTTGCTTCTCCGTTGAAGCGTGGGACGCCACCAGTATTCTTGCCCTCGGCGCTGTTCTGCGTCTCCTCCTCCTTGATGAAGTTGACATCATACCTGAAGGTGTCAAGCAGCGCCATGATCAGACACGGCGCGCGAAGCGTGGCCACAAGGGCCGTGACGTGAAAGGGCGGGACCAAGGTCCCAAGGAGCTGTGGTAGCTCCGCTACCAGTGTGGAAATGAATCCAACACTGGCAGCAAACATCGTGCGCTCTTTCTTGAGCCAAAGCGAGGTCAAAAGCTTCAGTCTCGTGAGCTGTGGGATACCGGTGCAATCCATGGTGGCTCATGGGATGTCCCTGCTAGGTCCATCATTTTCACAATTCGGCAGTTCCATTACTACATCCTTCGACTGTTGTTTCACGTCTGTTGCTTATCTAGCTCCTGAGCTTTCTCTTTTGCTTCGTCCAACCTGCAACAAGGCAAACAACATAAATTGGATTCAACAAAAATATGCTTACATGCTCCATGTTTACTAAGTCTACAATGCGAATTGGGTCCCCTCATGACTCTACGCGTTGCATATCCCGTGATACACTGAGACACTTCGTCTCCTCAATTGGCTTAAAATGTTCCACACTTCACCACGATCCTTGATAACGTCACGCGCTGGTACGCAAACACAACCACCATCTGTGGTAACTCACTAAAACAATATAGGCTAGGCAGCACTGTTCGATCGGCCAGCAAAGCCAAGCCAAGCCAGCGTGTCTGAAACGTGCGTCTTAATTATCGAGGCGTCTCCAGGAATCCTTTCCGAGCCCAGGTGCAACATGGTGGCTGATCAAAATTCTTCCAAGATGCAATGCCAATTCTGCGCGCCAAAAAAATGTTTTTGCGGACTCATCGCGAAGCATGGCCCTAAAAACGTGTTTAGTTAACATGTGTTGGAGCGGTAAATTTGTGTATATTTAGATTTATCACAAGCTAGTGAATGACATCTTGCAGCATGACCTACACACAAGGTTGGGAGTTGTACTCAGGGTCTTGCAGCGTCTTGTGACATCTGTGCGACAAGCAGTGTCCCGAGCCCTGCAGGAGGCTTAGAATAGTCAGGAGCAACTTAACCCAATCCTCGCGCCAACTACCAACAGGGTGATGCGGCTCGGGGAATGTTTGGGGGCCCAAGCTTGGAACTTGGACTCTAACGGCGCGCTCGCAAAACTTTTCGCGGATCTTTTTTGAATTTTGACTGGTGATTCCCCTGAGAAGGCATATCATGTGCAAACATCTGCGCAGCCCGTCAGAGCTGCGGGTCGTTCCTTAACTGTCAGCGCTGTTCACGGGTGACGCAGTTGCAGCTTATGAGCTAACTTGGGGAAAAACCATTTATGTACGTGCTGTCAGGGGTGTGCAAGGACAAGTTAAGTTGTCAGGTTGCTAGTCTGTGGCAGTGGAGACGGGAATCGGAGAAATCCTTTACACACTGCGAGGGCTGGGCAAGGAAACGTTGAGGCTTCTGTTCGTGACAGTGAGCACATGCGGGCGCACTGCCCGCCGGCTCTGCCGGAGGATTGCTTTGTAATTCTACCATGCGTCGGTCGGTAGAAAGGAAATAACATAAAAGCGAAGACCTTCGACCTTCGACGATAAATCTTCCGCGAGAAACTTTCGCAAACCTCATCGCAAATCTTTCGCGGATGTGTTGGACAGCATCGAAAGGGTCATTTTAAATAAGACCCCTTGCTAGTAGGAGAAGGGCCCGCCGAGACAGAATCTAGGTATATACGCGCATGGTTGTACGGATCCGATGGTGCAAATGCATTGATGTTCAGCAGCTCAGGGATATTCAATGCCTTTCCGCACAACATGTCCAAAGCTCCCCATATGGCCCTGATGCTAGTTGTGTTTGCGCTCTAGCGCAAGATGAAACGTTGCACACCATACAGCTTGATGCAAACAACGGTTACCATCTTTTATCCCACTTGCACTTGGAATGTTGATGATTCATCGCAAACTGGCGGTATATTATAGTTACAAGGATTGCCTGCCGGAAATGTTGTTGCGTATAGTAGAAGCTTAAATTATACAAGCATAGGCCCCAAGCAGCTTCAAAACGGTTCGTTTAGTTTAGACCAATATCAGTAAAAAGTCGATTTCTTGGTACGCCCTACCTTCACCCCAAGAGCAAACTGCTTCATCAATGAGTTTTTGTCGGCGTTGACGTCGCCATTTGTTCGGCCACACTCCTCTCCAGCAAGCCGGGCCACAGAGACCAGCCACAGAGTTCAGGGTCGTTTTGGGCGCGGAATTAGATTGTGGAAAGGCGTGGCGAAGGAGATCGCTGGGAGCAGGTGTCTACCAGCCAGAAGAGCCGTGGCGGGACGTCCGCCTCCACCGTGGACGGGCCCTGCCCCCCGCTCTGTGATGTCTTGACTTCCTACACAGACGGGGGCCCTATGCCCAGTCGCTTGCCACCATCCACCACTCTGGACCGAGCACAGCAGCTCGACCCTGGCCAGTACAAAGCAGGGATTCGTTTCACCCCCTCAGACACGCGGTGAAAAGGAGTGAGGAAAAAAAGGGACATGCCCGCTCCAGCTGGACATGCGGCAGAGAAAAGGCGCGAGGAAAAGCAGTTGTCACCAGCAGTGCCTTGTGACACACGTGACACACGTGAACGAACAATGGCCATTGCCGGGGCCGTGTCGTTGTACGATACATAGGATGCATTTTTTTGGCACATTCCACGTCCAACCTGTGGATCCTGTGGAACACTAGATCGGCCGATGCTTGGCGCAACATGTCGTGGCCCACTGACACATATGTCGGACATATGTAAAATAATCATTGAAAAGCCTTCCAAGACAAGGACAGGACCCGGATACAGAGCCGGGCCACAGAGCCCAGCCACAGAGTTCAGGAACGCGGCCAAGACAAGGACAAGAGGAGGACAAGGCCCAGCCACGGAGGACAAGAGGAGGACAAGGCCTGGACACAGAGCCCAGCCACAGAGTTCAGGGGCGTGGCCAAGAGGAGGACAAGGCCTGGACACAGAGCCCAGCTACAGAGTTCAGGGGCGTGGCCAAGAGGAGGACAAGAGGAGGACAAGGCCTGGACACAAAGCCCAGCCACAGAGTTCAGGGGCGCGGCCAGTGAGTGTGGCCAGCTTTTTCTTTTTCTAAGATAGAACCCCAACAGTAAACTGTTTGGGGAAACACAATGAAAACAAATTGTTTGAGGTTACATCACTACAACCTCACGGAGGTCTGCTGATTCATCTTTAATCATGGCGGCCAAACGCGATGTCAGCCTTGAAACCTCAGAAAAAAGGTCCCTGTTTTTTTTCAGTACCCTGTCTCAGGTGAGTCAGACCAGTGCTTGCCACAAACAGGTTCTTCATTGAATTGCATGCTGTAGTCACTTCATCAGGATACAATGGAACACGTCTGCCTGCAACGAATCAGCTGAATACCGCTTGAGTCAGAGACGCCCTGCTGCGTCCTCTTGTGCCTTCTGCTGCAGCGCCTGCTTCAGATCTTCAGATCTTCCCCAATACAAGGGAACTGCAATGATTCCAAAATGTGTCCGCAAACAACAAAACATGAATAACAAAGAATGCGATCATCTGACCTTCCAGGTATTTCAACTAGGCAAGCAACACAACATGATCTGATACCCAGACAAGTCTGCGGAACGGACTGTTACTATTAACAACAACCAACTGTTCAGCTTCTGAGCACTGCGCAGAAAACGTTCCTTGGAGTGAAGCAGCTGCATTGGCCGCCTGTCAATGATTGACCACCTGCTCCCTGCAAAATACAAAGCACTCTTGGCCCAGGGGCAAGCAAAAAGTGAACTTGTACCGTCGAAGCGGAAAGGGAAGACCGGTTCAAGATTCCAAAGGGAGGGCGTAAGACGAAACCAAATGTACGGGCTTAGACGAAGGCGCAAAATCCTTGCGCTGAAGTACCCAGTGGCTCAGTTCCTCCTGAATCCCTTATATTTAACTATGCAGTGTTTTTCATTCAGCTGCGTAAACTTTTCTACATGTTGAATCTGAGGGCGGTTTGAAATCTTTATTAGGGAAATACCTGGGAATTTGAACCTTTCTGACGAGCGGGGTTGGACGAAGGATTGACACATAGGGAAGGATGTGTTGAAAAAGCACATTTTGTCGAAAACGGATGGCTTTGGCGAACCTCACCAGTGTCAACTTGCATACGTCATACGTTGAATTCTTCACACTCCCTTCGCTTTGCCTCGACTGCAACAAGGTAATGCATGAAACGACACCAAGATACACCAAGGACATAGGAGTGTTGAAAGTCCATAAAGACCGCGTGTTGATGTTCTTTGTGCCGCACTTAGTTATTGATGCTTCCCGATCTGAAGTGTCAACATCCATCCAAGCCTCTTCGGCCTCTGCTTGAGCGCCATACCCAATCCCTGGCTGCCGGACTTGCACTGTTGAATCGGAACTTGGCCAAGAAAACGTTTCCCCTGCAACTCATATTATATATAATATACACACTTACATACATATCATACATCCATCCATCCATGCATCAATCTCATACACATATACAAGTCGGGGGCTGCAAGCCAGGGCAAAAACCAAAAAGCGCGACCTCGCGCTTTATTCTTCCTCAATCTTTCTTGGGCTAAATATGGCTAAATCATCACTGGCCACCAAGTTGTCTCTCAGCATCTCCAAGGTCCTGACGCCTCAAGGCTTCAAAGTTCACACCTTCTGGCTCAGCCTAAGAGTTAGCAGGTTACTAAAATGTGAGGGGGGTCGCGCCGTAGGCACAAAGCAAGGAACACACACACACAGTGCAAGTGCACGGAAAGGAACGCGCAAATGCAGGCAACTTTTGTAATAGGTGAACGAAAAAATACAATTGAAGCAGAAAATCCCACTAGCCTACACAGCATTGCTAGCGCATTGGCGCGCGTATAACTGCCAATGTGAATGATGCGGTAGGCCCGGCTAGTAGGTGAAGCGTTTAAGACCCAAAAGCATGTGCTCAGCTTGTTAGGTGATTTATGCGTCACCAAAATCAATTTTCTTTTGTCACCTTTGTTTGATCTCGAACTGCAGTGATATCGCTTTCTTTAATGACAAATTGCCAAAGTGGCGTCGCTGCGGGAAGAAGGATAATAATGGACTTGTATGGACTTGTTAGTGTCTGCCATGGCGTCCGATGGTGCGAATTGAAAAACTCTACAGCTCGACCGCCTGTAGAGGCTACTTCTACAATGCCAATCACATTGCTACCAGCATTATCCACATCAGTGTCAATTCTCTTTAATAAATAGAAACATGTATATAGATTTAATATAAACACGTAGAGGCAAAGTCTTACATACTCACAGGAGCTTGTGCACCCACCCTAACCCGCAGTCATTTATTCATTAAAAACACTATGAACGTTAAACGCACAGCATGCTGAACTTCGTGATCTGTCCAGGTAGTTGAGAATCAGACAAATGGGCTTTCTCAGCCACAAACGCTACGTTCAAGTCACCAGCAAAAGGCCAAGTTGCTGTATGGCGCACCGCATTGAATCAAGAGACGTCACACAAAGGTGTAGCAAATTGCCCGAAACATTGGGTTTGCTACTCCTTGGCATGTTTTGTTACGCCCCATGTGATGCAAAGCCGAAGCTTGTAGCATCAGAAGAATGGTAAGTCAGCTTGAAATCAACCCCAAAACTACACGGACACCACATGCAGAAATCAAGCAAGTCAGTGCAACCAGCCAGCGCAACCAACAAACACTTTCCGGCGGGTTGAAAACTGAACGTGTAGGCGTGTGTGTTTAGGAGCAGCGGTCATTGTTGTGGTAAACGAAACCTGCGTTTTAAGCACATGTTTGATGCGTGCACTATCGTTTGAGGTGGAGGAATCTACACTGGGGTTCGACAAAATTCAGTGCCGTTGTCATTTTCCTGTTTCAGGGAGAAACTTGTTGTTTTTTACCTTTAGTTTTCAATCCGCAGGCAAAACAACTCGTGGTTTGAAAGCCTCCAAACTAAACAAAATCCGGGCGAGTTGTCCGAGCTAAGAGATAAGTCACTCATGCTTACATAGTCGCCCATCCGCAAGGTGGCGCCACAATCGGGTGAGGTTACGCATGAGTGGGAACGGAACGCATGAGTGGGAACGGAACAGTCATTCATCTATACAAACAAACAAGATGGAACCCACGAACCCGAACGCAAACACGTCCTCAAAAACAAACACCCAAACAATTTTTGGCACTCTTGTAGGACACACTCTTGTGGAACCCTCTTGTAGGACGCATTCTCTTCGGAAACCTTTGTGGGACACTTTTGTGCGCTCTTGAACGGACACTCTTGTGGAACACTCTTGTGGGACACTCTTGTCGGACAGTCTTGCGGGACTTGTAAGTCACTCTTGTGGGACACTCTTGCAGGACACTCTTGTGGAAAACTCTTGCGTTGTAGGACACTCTTGTAGGACGCTCTCGACGGACATCCTGATGGGACACTCTTATTGCAGGACCCTCTTGTGGGTCACTCTTTTAGGATCTTGTATGGCACTCTTGTGGGACACTCTTGCGAGACACTCTTAGAGGACACTCTTGCGTCACACACTTGCGGGGCACTACTACTAAAGTCTCCAACAGTTAACTGTCACGTCTTCAAAACGAGCGTTTCGCACGAGACCTTCTTCAAAAACTCACACTTGAAGTCTACAAAACGAGCGCGTCGTACAAGACTTCAGTCACACTTCAAGTCTGCAGAACGAGCGCTTCGTACGAGACATCCTCCAAACCGCACGTGTCAAGTCTCCAAAACGAGCATTTCGCGCGAGACTTCTTCCAATTCGCACGAGACTAGTCTACAAACGAGCGTTTCGTACGAGACTTCCTCCAAAAGTCAAGCGGGAAGCCCCATCGGAGCGCACGCACAAATCAAACAGCCCCGCCCACACACGAATCCCAATGTCACAGTCACAGCCTCACGATTCCCTGCGCCTGCCGCGAAAATTTGCACGTCCACACGTCTAACACGCACAAAAAGTACTGCGCCTGCCTGCACGAACAATGACAACATCATATCACGTGATGATCTCGACACGTTCTGAGCACACTGCCATCCACCCAAGTCGCCCTTTGATCTAAGACTTGTCACGAAAGCACAGCTTCGAAGCAACAGCCTGAAACGCAAATCCCAATGTCACAGCCACATCCCACACCCTAAAACACCACTCCCAAACGCCAATCCCAATGTGACTGCAAAAAACAGCGGATCTCACAAAACGCAGCGCCTGCGCAGTGACTTCATCCTCCACACTTCAACATCTCATGTTTCCACACGTTTCCTTGCTATTTCACACGAATTTGACACGTCATGCTTCCATGCAAAACCCTCTCCAAAACTTTCCCCCAATGCCAGCGCCATAGCGCTCACCTGCGAACGGTTGCGAATGGTTGCGGTCGGTTGACCACGGTTGCGGTCGCTCAGACAACGAGTCGCGAACAAGGCTCTCCCCAGACCCCCAAAGTTAAACGAGAACCCTTCGCTACGCATTCGGGAAAAAGGAGAAAGTGCATCTCATATGGGGCCAGTATAAGTGGCGAAACTGAATATTCCATGCCTCCACGCCATCTTCTTTCAAGCGGGAGTACTGGATTGAACGCGTGTATCTCATAAGCATGCAGCACACTGTGGTCCTGAAGGCTACACTACCTAGACCTGCAGCCAAAAAACGAGGTGGGAGCGGGTGCTTGAAGGTACTCTACTTCTCAAGTCAGCATCAATTCAAAACGAAAGACAGAAAAGAACTTACACAAAGACAGAGAAGTCAATCTGAAAGGGCACAGAGTTTTGATTCGACTCCCCTCTATTTGATCGATACAACTTAAACCGAGGCCTCAGTACTCCTATGAGCTTCCTTGATACTGATTCAACATGCTCATGAACCAAGTCCTTATCGAGTATCACAAAGGTCTCTCTCTGCATCTAGCTGTTAATCACACGCAGCCAACAAATAGTCCATGAACAAGCGGCTGTGCGAAGCCGCTTGGGATCTGGATCTTGTAGCCCTGATGAGCAAAATTGCGCAACTGCTTTATTATGATTGCATCCAATCCTGTGGCAGTCCAATCGAGGGGCCATGATTGCATGCAAAGGGTCCTCTTTCTTCTCCGTCAGCACCAGCTTCATCCTCAGCAGCTTTATGTCTGACTTCTTCCACATTTCCTGCGTAAGTATAAGTCATTCTAAGTCCAATGAATCTACCAAACGAACCCTACATTTAAATTGCTGGCGCGCTTGCGGGCAGTTATATATATATATAAACGAACCACTAGGAACGAACATGCCACATCAATTCTGGACTTTTGTCCAGTCCTCGAAATAACACTCAACAGTCACGAAATGCAAAGGGCAAATCCAAGACGAGGAGATAAGGCCGATCCGGATCTGCCCTCATCTTTAAGAGCGAGGCCTCTTCGTCTGACAGTAACGCCAAAGGATCCATGGCATGCTTTTGACATGGAACAAACTAGCAAATGCCTTAATTGTTTTTGCAAGATCTAACAAGTAACAAGTAGGGTTTCAGCAGAAACCGCACCCCAACATTGCTTCCTTCTGCTTCTTTCATGACCATACAATCTGGCACTGACCTGTGTTGTATCGTTGAGTATTCGCACCATTGTTGTTTGCTGTTAAAGCACATTCCTCTCATCCTCTTTTTCTCCTTGAGCTTGAGATGTTGGCCATCATCGATCATGCGCTGGCGGAATCCTTTCATATGACCCCGGTCAAAATTCTGGGGCGGCGTCCTACAAAAACATCTGCCATGACGATGTCCCAGTTTCCCACAAAACATCCCGGTTTTGATTCTGGTCCCTTTGACATCCCCGGTGAAAACCATAGTTTCATGAGTGTGGTTGAGAAACAACATTGATACAAGAACCAGAAAGGGGCCCACAGGATACAACTCATCACGCACTGAGCAAGTCTTCCAGTTTTCATCAAGACTTTCTACAACGGCGGGATTTCTGAAGATAACTGCGCCCGCCAAGCCACACACAGACTACTATCCAAAACAGATTCGATCACCCTCTTCTACAGCCGCTCCTTTCTCACAAAAATACTCCCCTCTTCAAGGCCACATTGTGGGCAAAACATCTCAAACAGTTTGTTCTTTTGGTTCTACAAAGGACCCATACTTCACAGTGGAAAAAGACATGTTCAACAAACGCGGGAAAATATTGAAGGTGACAATGGAACAGCAATGGGCCGCGCCGTGGGCCAAAGTGTTGGCAGTTCAAATAGTCCACCCTGAATCTTCATCACGAATTCCTCTGCGCTACTCACCGAGGATTGAAACGTACACAGCTTGCGCGCGCACTAGTCCATATGGGCGCGCCTGCGAGTATGATGTAACGCACGACACCCCTCACTGACTCGAGCCAGTCTCAGTCTCAGCTCTAGTCAACCTCCAACTCCATCAGCTATGATAGCTTTGTCAACCAAGAAATGGCCCCAGCGCTTGCCAGCGCATCAGCCGAAGGTCTCCACACTTTGACCTCTGAAAGACTCCCAGCAGCTGGCGTATTTGATCTTCATCGCATTTCCTCCACACACTGAGGAGATGACTGCTCAAGTCACCCTTGTTGCCTGAACAGTACAAACAATGATCTCGACACACGCTGACGCTGACCAAGATCATCTTGGGAAGCGCATTGAGAACATTCATCCCCAGTTCTCTGTTGGAAGCCCTTGGAGATCCATCGCGCTGTTTGCACGATCCGCGCGGATCGCGATCCTGACGCTTGCAAATCCCCCTGCGCGCCGCTAGATCTAGTCCATCCCCAAGTCAGCTTCTTCTGTCCGGCAATATTCAGCTGCGGGCCCACTGCTACACCCGATTGAGCTTGAACAGGCGCAACCAGGCTAACCGCCAATGCTGCCACAAGCAAGACCCTTGTCTGGGCATTTTGGTCCTTGGCCTCTCTACAACAGTGAACGGACAGCACCTTGTCTGGCGAGGTGCTTGACCTTGCCTGGCCCCTCTTTGGCAAATACGAGGCCGTTCCTCTTTGGCAATCTAAATGCGCAACGACATCATCCTTGCTCGGTCGGTGCCCGGGGCTACCGCCGGCGAAGGCATCTGTCCAAGGTCACACCTGCTGGAATGTAACCTGAAGCCTTATTCGCCAGTCAACAAGGACCCAATGGGGTCCCGACAAGCCAAGGCGCAGCTGTGAAGAGTTGCCATCCACTTCTATGATGGACAAGGGGTCCTCCGAGATATCGATACAATCCAAGCTCTTGCAGCCCAAGCAGCGTGTCTTGTCTGCCGGCCACAGGAGGTGGCAGCCAGCACACAACCAACTGAAAACCCGGCCCGTGGCTGCCGGCGCGACAAACCGTGTGCTTTGGCCTTGAAAAGCACCGCTACCACCGCGTGCATCTCCATGACACGGGAGACCGAGGCCGTGAGGTGCTGGTGGGCGAAGGCAGTCAGGAGGGCTTTCATCTCACCATGAGTGAGCGTTCGGGCAAAGCGAGAGCAATCCGCAGGCAGTACCGGGAGCAACTTCTCCAAACCTTCAACTTGGAAGCCGTCGGCGACCTGGATCGCTCCCACCAGCTCATCCTTCAGAGACGGGCCCCCGGGCATCGCAGCATCAGCAGCAGGAGTAGCTGCCACAAAGCCCTTCAGAGGCTCCGAAGGCTTGGCCTGCTCCGGGAGGTCATTCAGAGCAGCAAACCGCTGCAGCCACCGCCGCCGGATCCTGTAGACCAAGCTTCGCCACCGTGCTCGCCAAGTCCTTGAGTTGGGTGTCCAGGACTTCTTTGGAGTGCGCATCCAAAATCGGGGGGGGTTCCACCTCCACCACCCTCCACCATCAAAGGATCAACCACTGCCCGCGCCAGAGCAGAGTCCTCCACCTCCATCGAGTCCACGATGGAGTTTTCGCTCAAACGGGTGTAATTGAGGATCAGGAAGTCTTCAGCCGGGGCACCGGGATTCCTCGCAACAGTGTCCAAACCTGCGGACTGGCTGGAGTAGTAGGTAGGAGCAATGTTTCAACACGGTTGGCGCCAACAAGCGAAGACTTGAGCCAAAACGGCAGTGCCGTTTGGGCAACTATATCGACAACACATTACTTGCTCTACGCAAGCTCCAAGCGAAGCAAAAGTTCTTTCATCAAGCATTCGCGGTGCTTCGGGTCAGCTTCTGATGTGAGCGCGGTTAAGCTCCAGGAAACGTTTCTGCGTAGATGTTCCCAATTGTTCTCATCAAAGCCACGTTTCTTCTTAGTGCTCCGAATCTTGTGAGCCCAGCAACTTGACGCCTCTCGTCACGTTCATTGCTTTGGTCAACTTCCAAATGACAACATCTTCTGTGGGATCGCTGCAGTGCCTCCTGACGAATCTGCATGGAAGAATGCCAGACGTGTCATACCTAGCTATCAGCTTGTCAACCACGCCATTCACGCTGCGCGCCGCATAGCCAAAAGCCGATGCATCCAGACAGGGAATTCCCTGCGAAATGCCCTCTACCTTGTACAGGTTGAGTTCTTGGGCCACAAATCTTGACGGAGCCATGCTGGCCTTGTCTCCGTGCCTCCCACCCGCATTCAACTCGTCCATCAACGAAGGTTGTCTCTCCCTTCCTTCAGCAGCTTTAGCGTTCCGGCTCTGTCATCGTAGATGTTGCCACGGGTCTCGTCCATGGGAGTGGCTCGAACAAAAGCACCTGTAGTGTCACCGGGTCACTTCCTCCCGCGCAAGCACAGAAGATTGAACCAACAGGTTGACCGGTCATCCGAACAGAAGCTCCTCAGCCCTCGGCTCCGGCCGAAAACGAAGAGCCTCGAAAGCCCTTCTTGCAACCTTCACTGTGAGGTTTGTTGGACGCACCATACTCTTGAAAACAACCTTCACAGTCAGAAGTCCGGAGTCTGACCATACTTCAGTTGTCTCTCAGCGGTGATGCAAAAGCATCTCTTGGAATGAACTTCTGGGCTGCTCATTTGGCACTCTCTGCGCGCTGAAATACCTTCAAGCGGAGGCGCAGAGTCAGGAATCAAAACTGGTTGTCCTCAAGGTTCCCAAGTTGCCAGGGAACGTCAGATCATCCGACTTCTTCTTCTTCCTTCTCCTTCTTCTTCCAAGAGCTTGGCGGTGAACTTTATGACGCTTTGGGTTCTCGCTCAAGCCTGATCCAGGTCAGTGTTCACCTCCTGCTCGAGCTCCTCAAAGATGTGCTCCTTCATCGGGAACTCCTAAGTAAAAACCCAAACTTCTCACCTGAGAGAGACCTGTGAGGATAGGTGGTCACAGTCCCTTTGCCTCAACTGAAGCAGGCTCGTCCACGTCCAGTGGCTCACGGTCACGGTCGCATCGAGCCTGATGCTTTTCTTATCCTCTCACTATTCTCTCATACCGCTTGTCCTTCGATCTCGTCCCACGTTTCTGAGCCAAACAATGGCTCCGCTACCGTGAAACAGCAACGGGTCGCGCCTTTTGTGCTCCTAAAGCCAAAATGTTAGCACTTCAAACAGTCCACCCTGAGTCTTCATCAGGGATTCCTCTGTATTACTTTCCAAGGATTTGAACCCCGCAAAGCTTGCACATATGGGTGCACCTGTGAATATGATGTAATCCACTACAAATGAACCTTCTTTTTTGGTAGTATTGAATCCCATCAGGGTTCATGCACCCTTAGAGTCAGTTCTTGTTTGCCAACCACCCGCAGCTGGCTATGAAGCAAAAAGAACTTGCGCCAGAACTGAATGACGTGATTCATGGACGAATGTTCAGCAAGCAGCCCACGCAGCCCATCCTCCCATAGCAGCATGATTTCAGCCGCTCGCCGAACTCCTTCAGTAACCCAGCGGGAGAACTTATGCAAGTCAACCTGAAGGTTTTCAAGTCTCCAGTACGCATCTCTTGCAGTAGCCCTTGTTGCTGAGAATCTCTTTGCATCCTGGGCAAAAAATATCTACAAAGTACTGTCCCAGTGCTGCCTGATCCACAAAATGACTGGGCCTTGGAATGTTTTAGAAACGGGTCATTGGCTAGGCCTCATGCCATTGTAATATCCTTGTGCATGCTGCGTGCATTCTGTTGAATTTGGCCTTGTGTGATTTTACATGTTTTTGCCATACAGATCATACAGCTGAGAAACTGATAGTTGTAGCGGATGCGCTTCACTCCGCAAGCAAACATGGTCCACACCAGACAACCTCTTCCAACAGGATGGTGAAATACAGAAGCTTCAGAATCACGGAGCAAACTTGACACCAACAAGACTCATTTGACATTCCGTGCCTTCCCAAGCCTCCGAACATTCCCAAATGATCCGCATTCCACTCTTCGCTGCATCGATACAAACACGGCTGGACGCCACGCGGGATCCTGAGAAGGGCTTGGACACGAAAGCTGGCAAAGTCTGGTTTTGCGGAACATCTCAATCCAAGACGGACCTGGTTGAGACTAAAAGCGGAGAAAAGAAGGTTGAGGACACTATCACCAAAAC